GTAAACATCTAAGGAATATGGGAAAACTCCATAAAAAAAAGGTGCTTGGGTGTCTCATGAACACTCTGATGATCATCATTTCCAACGTATTAATTTTGCTTTGTCTCTTCTAGCAATGTAATGCATGTGAACCATTTTTGGACAGAATTGTCACTGATGATGAAAAGTGAATTCTCTATGCGAATATCAAATGCCAAAAACAATGGCTCAGTCCTAGAGAAAAACCACTTCTGATCCCAAAACCTGGACTCCATCTGCACAAAGTGATGCTTTGCATTTAGTGGGACATCAAAGGAGTAATTCATTTCAAACACCTCAATCCACAGCGAACTGTCAATGCAGAAATTTGTAGTCAGCAACTGGAACATTTAAATCAAGCCCTTCATCAGAAATGCCCTTCACTCGTCAATTGGAAAGGTGTTCTTCTCCACGACAATGCATGTTCATATGTGGCAAGTTTGACGCAACACAAGATTATGGAGTTGGGTTGGGAAGTTTCCCACACCCACCATATTCTCTAGATATGGCACCATCAGATTACCATCTTTTTCATTTGCTGCAACACCATTTTAATGGGACGACATATGTAAATGTAGAAGGTGTTAAAGTGGACTTCAACATGTTTTTTGCTTCAAAGTCAAGTGATTTCTTTTATCAGGGCATTAACAATCTGATTGTAAGATGGAAAAGCATCATCGTTAAGAATGGAGACTATTTCATTTAATAAATAAATTGTTTTGATATATAAGTTGTTTGGGTTTTTTTCATCTAAAAAAGAGCGACATTAACTTCTTGACGACCTAATATAAGATACTAATAAGTTTTGGCAAGATAACTGTATGATAGTTTTGTTTTAACATTTTGTAAATGATACAAAAACTGTATTGACAATTTAAACACTCAGCTTGCTTATCCTTTATATATGAAGTAGAATAAACTAAAAGTGGAAAAATGGATTCAAAATCTTTAATATATTTATATGTAGAGAAAAGAAGAGTGACCTACACCATTGACAAACCCAAAACAATTAAGATATTTCTTTATATCCCTCTCACTTCAAATTGAATATTTTACTTTGAGGAAGGGAATAGACAGTTTATACTTAATATTGTAATTTCTTTAGCTTGATAAAATGAAATATCATTATTTAAGCCAATTTGTTTTATTTCTACTTTTAAATACTCTATAAACATTTCAGAGATGTCAGAATATTATTTACCAAAGCATAATATTCTTGTTTAAACCACAAATTACTTATTTATTTTTGTTTTGTTCCTTATTGTTGGGGTCCACCATATATTGTATCACATTGTGAATAATTGTTTTTGCCTGTTAAAAACTAACTAAGAAAACTTGGGTAAAATCACTCATTTTATGTGTACAATCACCTAGGAAACCTGAACAGTAATTAATGGAATTAATTGCAACACTGATTGTATTTTCAGATATATATATTTTTGTGTATTTCATGTTATTATGAACCCACTTATAAATAAAGTTATCGATTTGCAAACAATTTAGTGCATAAGCTGTTGTTGAAATACTCACTAGCAGAAAAGAAATTTCCAACATGATACTAGAACTTACTCTCACTGTAGATTTTACTAAAGAAAAACTATTATAAATGTTATCCAAGTACTTCAAAACAAAGAACATTATGGAAAGAATGCTGTATTTTTTTTTATGTGACTGGTGAAAATACAAGATTTAATTGTGAAATGCTACCACTGTAATATACTGACCCTAAACTTACTGAGGAATCCCATCAATTCTTAGACATCTCTCTAAATGAAAGAAAAGATTATGGACAATTTAAAATTAAAAAGACTAATTTAATTTTAAATATTCTTCTCATCTTATTGAATAAGTGCTTTTCTTTAAAACCTTATTTCAACTTTTTTTTTTTCACATTGTTAGGGATTTAAAGCCTTTATCAGAAAAAATGGATAAAGGTGTTAAAATTGTCATTAATTTTTGATTGTATCATCAAACAACATTATCCCTGTTGTATTTGTAATAGTTTCATCATTCCATGATTGTGAATACTTAAGGATTATGCAAGTACATATAAATGTTAAAATTAGTAAATGTTTTTGCGCAATCCCCTATAAATGTTGTTCAATATTAGTATTTTTGTTGTTTTACGTATGTAACATTTTGTCTAACCTAATACCACCACTCTTGTGGAGAAGGCATTTCTCCAAATGTTTTTTAAAGATTCTATAGTACATCAAATACAGTTTTTATCCAGCTGTCATGTATTAAGCATTTTACTGCAAGCTTGGTGAAAAGATTTGGTTTGATAGAAAATAAAGCTTATATGTTGTGTATATGCATACGAGTAAGTGATATGGTAAAGAAATATCTATAAAATATAAATTATTTTTACAAAGTGCAATGTTGACAAACTTCAATAGTGGAAATGGATATCACCTGGATAATGAAGAGGTAAGATTTCAATAATTATATGTGAAATAGTTCATTATTTTTATATTCAGTTGAGTAAAGTTTGAATTTGGTCTCTCCTCTATAATGATAAAGCACTATTTAGACTATAGTATGTATTAATGGCTGATTTAAATTTAATTTTACATGTTGCTATTTTAGAATCAGATGATTATAGTTCCAATGTGTAAGATTAGATTTTAAAAATTGTAATAGGTTTTGATAAAAATGTGGAGAATTTGATGAGTTGTTTATACACATACAGGGTGATTCAGAAGTCTCCTGACAGGCAAGTAATTCAGGAACATAAAGAAATAATATATATATATATATATATATACTGTTTGCAGGTGGCATAATAATTATATTCTATTTTTTCTTTATTGTTAGCTTTTTTTAATGATACTTATCAAATGATTGTATTAGTTTCATTATTTTTTATTGCATATTGTTATAAAGATTATTTTGCATTGTTGATTTAGCAGTTGGTTTGAAGATGTGTCTAAATCTCTCAAGTTGCCTGAGCCTAGTGAGATATTTTATTATGCCTTAAGTTGTAACAGTGAGGGTGTCTGGCTGATGAATTGGTGTATTCTCATTTTTATAAGCTCTTGTTTTTGGACATTAGTTAGTCATAGTTAGGCTGGTAGATTAATTGAGTTACATTATTTACTGGGTTAATTTTGTAGTTCTGATCTGTGTAGGTATAGCTTGCTTTGACCAGAAGTTATTGACACTAGAACTAAATGCAAAATGTTTGTTAAAGATATTGTATACATGTTTGTATGTGTATGGCAGAGAATTTACTGTTTTAGCTCAAACAGTTGATATAAGTTTTTAAGACCACCAAAAACTTGGTTTGTTGTGGTTCAAATTAGATGTTTGATTGGTTGTATCCCTCTTTATTCAATTTCACTGTGCAAATGTGAAAAAGGAACTACTCTGACAATAGATCATTAAAAGCTGTGATGATAAATAGAAAACTGAGCTTTTAGTGTTGTAATAAACTTTTGTTACTAGCACTTATTTTTATAGAAACAGTTATACTGTGTAAGATTCTGTGACATGAAAATATTTTCAGTTCATTGTGATACTACTTACCTCTCTTTCTTTGTTTCCTCCCCCAGAATGCTACTGAAGAAATAAGGAAAGCTCTGGCTCAGGGTTTACCTCCATTTCCTTACAAAGTAGCTAAAGCATTAGATCCTGAGATATATAGAAATGTTGAGTTTGATTTGTGGAATGAAGCTAGAAAAGGTAGACGTTTTTAATCTTATTTAGAATGTGTCCTGTTTGTAAAATATTAATGTTCTTTTAATGATCATTATTAATAAATAGAAATGAAAAGTTAAGGTGAATATTACAGCAACATCTTAATGAATAAAATTTAAATTGATCAAGACTTATAGTCATAACTTTACTTCTCTGAGTTAAAGCTTTACAAGGTAAGATGCCATAGCTTGAAAAACATGTCCTGCTTCCAAGTTTGCATTATTTGTTTTGTATTTAAGAAATATGAAAAACTAAATTTTCTATTATAAGATTAACATGTAATAAAAACATATAGTTATTACTTTTCATGTTATGCAGTGTCAGTTTAAAAAAAAAAAAGTCAAAGTACTAAGATTTGTGATAGGATATCAGTTATTCTCATGGTTAATAAATAGCCTATAGAATAATTTAAATCCAATAAATAATTAATTAGTTTTTATATCCTGTGTTTCAGCAGCTTTCTTAAGGAACATCTCTTACATGAAGGTAAAGCAATCAAATTAGCCAATTACAAGTCCGAGAATGTGGCTCAGATGTAGTTAAAATATATTTGTTCTGTGGCCGAACACTAAGGACAAGATTCCTGAATAGATAGCATTCCTCAATATGATTTAAAATGAAAATAGAAGAAAACAAAGTTCTATTCCTAGACATGATGGTTAATATGACACATACCTCATATAACTCAGAAGTTTACAGGAAACCCCACAGACATGGGTAAATAGAGCTGGGTTGTAAGTGCAATTTGAAAATCAATTAATTGTAAGGCTCATTAATTAGTTACATTCAACTAATCAATTATTCTCACATTAGACTTGGGTAGTTTGAATAATTGAAATACTGATTTTGGTTATTTGATTATTTTTTCTGAACCATTACATTAATCAATTAAGCTGAACAATTTGAATTAATAATCATAAGAAATTATAGTGGCAATACTTCAATGAACTGGATAGTTGGGATAATAGAATAATTGGAAACAGTTTTGATTATTTTATCATTTTCAAAACGTGAATTGATTTAATTGTAATTTCAATTAATCAATTATTTTATGTGACTAATTAATGTAATCAACTAAATCACCCAGCTCAGTTATAAATTAAACCACCCAGTCAGAGTAAAGACAGGTGTCATAGAATGCCTAGTTAACAGAATGAACAAGATTCATAATACAGAAAATACTAAGAAGGAAGAAAAATAAATCACTATAATCCCTCCCCCTATTTGTGGTAGGCCATCATACCAGAGAATAAGAAACCATACAATGAAATGGAATGATACAAAAACAATTGTCTATAAACATATGAGAAAAATTAAGAAAGATAAGCTATATACATTCACCTAATTGATAACACATTCATTTGACCTAACATAGAATTCAGCAGAAGCTGGATACCATTCTTGAAAGTATACAGATTAGTTAGCTGATTCAAGTCCTAATAGGGGAAGACACTTATTTTTTTTAAGATTTGCTAAAAGTGTGTGGTGGTACAGAGAAAAGGACATAATTTATGTAGAGCTGATATAATTTCTTGTATTTTGAATTTTTTATTCTCAATACTCTTACCATTCATGTATTTTAAACTATACTGTTTAGTTAGTTACATTTCTATTCAAGATGAAAGACGTTTTACTATTAGAGATGGTGCGTAAACATTGATTTTTGAAAATAAATTTTGTAAGTTGTACTTTCATTGATATCGATCACTTGGTGTGCTTATTTACATATTCAAAAATAAATAACTGTTGCTTTGTGTGTGTGTGTGTGTGTAATAAATAAATAATATATATATATATATATATATA